GACATAAAAAATTAGAAGTATAAGTTAAAAGACTCATTTTCTAAATTGAAAATGTTCCCAAATCCTCTTTCAAATCTACATGTCTTTCTATATTCTTCTGATTAAGCCTGTCCTTCCTCAAGCAACTGTATTCAAAAAGTGTTTTAAACCAATTTCTATTCAGTTTAATTTTATTCTTGGTTATTTGTATTTGCTGCCAGTTTTATAATAGTATGTTTTCTGTGAGTTATTATAGGCACACACAATTTAATAAAACTTAATTCTAACAATCTTATGACATTTATTAGGGAACTAAATATAATTTATCACTCTGTTTCTATGAGAAAGTAGAATCCAGGTTCCAAAAGTCCAATTTACAATGGAACACAACTCATGCGAAAACTGGAGACTTCTTTCCTTGTTTTGCCATATGTTGGAGTCTCCAAAGTATAGGATAGCAAGAATATCTGCTGAGATAGTAAAATAAATATTAAAATTCTATTTATTTAGTCTGTTATCCTTTTTAAATTTTACTTTTGCATTTCTTTTATAATGTTCAAAATGTATTTGTTATTATACTGCATATAATTATGAAAATAAATAAGCTTTTTTGAGGATGACTATGCAGCAGTATTTTGAGGATGAATTGAAGCATATGATAAAAATCTTGGAGAGGATCATTAGAGAGTTTACATGGAGTGATAACAATTTAAACTTTGGAACTTGAAAAGCTGAACTTTTAAAAAGCTTTCTGAAGCCTTTCCCTCCAAAAAAAGAGAAAAAAAGAAAAAAAAAAAGACTTTTTAAAAGTCTTTCAATGTAACACATCTTTTTAGAGATTAAAGCCTGTAAAACAATGGTTCTCAACTGGAGTTAAGAAGCACCTGAAGCTTGATTAAAATGCAAATTCTTGGCTCTTACATCCAGAGATCCTAATTCTGTAAGTCTGGGATGAAGCCAAAAACGTCAGTTGCCTCAAGGATAGCAGGGTTTCTCAATCTCAACATTACTGGTGATTCTTTCTTGTAAAGGCTGTCCTATCCTATGCATTACAGAATGTTCAGAAGTGCCCCTGACCTCCACTTACTAGATGCTAGTAGCACCCCCATTATGACCATCAAACATGCCTCCAGATATTGCCAAATGTTTCCTGAAGAACAAAATTGTCCCCAGTAGAGAACCAGGATTAGAAGCTGTTCAAAGATGACACATTTTGTGAAATGCCATCCTTAATCAAAAGGATAAAATAATATGATAAAAATAGAAGACTACAGATATGTACAAGTATACATTATGTACATTGAAATAAACTGGCTTCCCAAAAAGAAAATCTGATTAGCCTCTATAAGCTACTGACAACTCAGCTAAGCTTCTAAGTCAAAGCTCTTCTTATGTAATTTCAACTTGATTTTCTCCCCAGCTTCTATTTTAGATTATTTTTAATTAACTTCACTGGCATTTTGCATCCTGCTAAGAGAAGTCCGCCTAATAGTCTCAGAGGACTCTCCCATGAGAGAAGAGTGCATTAAATCACACATTATCACATTAAAGTATATTCCAGCACTCAGAGTCCAACGGTCTACATCTTGGCAAATGTAATATGGCGGGGGCTGGGGGAAAGATACAGGGATGGGAACAAGCTCAAGTGATTCATGATATCCCAAGCCTGTTGTCAATGAATCCAGCCCTATAAAAAAGTTGAACTGACTCTCTACTTCAACTGCATTTATCACAATGGCATACAATTTATGTTATAATTTGTGCTTCCACCCTGATTTCTTGCTAGTGACTGAGTATAAGACCTTGGGCAAGTCACTTAAATTCTTTGGACATCCTTTCCCTTATCTAAAAAATGAGCAGGCTGGATTAAATTATTTCTAAAGACCTCTCTAGTTACAAATCTCAAACTTATGAAAGAAGCAATTAATTCAAAGGCTCTTTGGATTATAGGAGTTCTGGTAACTATTGCACCAAAGGTCAAATACCTACATTTTCAATGTTGTTTTATAACACAAATTTTAAAATACTTATTCAAAACAGGACAAATGGCAATTAGAGGGACCACATAAACAAGATCCATTCTCTCTTAAAATAAAATTAAGTATAATTCAAACGGCTTTTCACCTATCAAGACATGTATACAAGTACTTTGCATGAGAAAGTAAATCAACATTTCACAAGGTAGTCACAAATAAGAATATAGCTTTAAATTGCACGTTTACTTTCTATTTTCTGTAAGAGAGATCACAAATCAGCTGCTCAGAGGCCACATCCAGCCTACAGTGGTGGTTGTTTTGTTTGGCCTGGACAAAATTTGTGTTTAATTACTTGCAAACCCTTAAAAATGGAGAGATAATACATACAGATCTGGATTTCCAGTATCACTTGAAATATCTGAAGATACTAACCCACATGGCAACAATTAGCTAAAACTGAGGAATGTTGTTTCCTGGTCCATGAGCTCTCCAGTTCCCTAAACTCCCCATTGCTCCATACTGTTTGACATCTATCCTGGTTCTCTCTTACAGCCTGGAGCATGTAAGCTTGTGTCCCTGCTCTGTAACTATTTTCAAAACACATGGGAAAGATTTGTAATGCTTTTTAATGCTTTCAAAACAATAGAAAAGCTTGCAGAACCACAGCAAAAAGGCAGAAATTTTAAGGAGGGAGAGTATGCGCTTAATATGGACAACCTTTCTAATTCTTAATGTTAATACTAGAATGGGCTGCACTACAGGTTTTTTTAACAAAACACCTAAAAGGATGTAGAACTGAATTTTAGACTTGATGTGGAGTTCAGATTAGAGAATCCCTAAAATTACTTTCAACTGTAATGTTCCATGCCTTTGGTTAACAGTATGGATAGCTCATCACAATATAGTACAGTAATAAATGTAGAGCTTGTAAATGTCATTATTAACCTATATATGTATATTTAACTTTGCAGAGATAGACTTGATCATATCCTTCATGTTCCTGAAATAATTTTTTTTCTGTTAATTTGTATTTAAAATTCCACTTTTCTTACTGACTTTAATATAAAGAATTTAAAAATTGGGTTTCTATTAACTAAGCAGCCATATCCTACTGAAGAATTATTAAGCTATTCTTCAGAAAGGATGACAAAGAATCCAAGGACAGAAGCAAGAGGATAAAAGAACTTGAGAAAGGGCTTAAGAGTAGAGTGGCCTTCGAGCAAAGCTTCTTCACAAATGTCTTTATCAATAAAACCAACCTAACCAAGCTTCCCTTGAAGCTTTCCTCTACCCATTTGCTCCAAGAATTTCTTTCTTTAAATACACCTTATGAGATCGCCTGTTTAAAATACAGTATTTTAACAAGATTCTGCAGATTCTCTTTTCAAAAATCAACTTTATGTTTAAATTACATTGATTCCCATTTAAAGAAAGTTTTCAATCAAAGTTAAACTAATAATAATTTTTTAAAATGTCTAACTATGTTGCTAAAGCTAAGGCAATTTTCAGGTAAAACCCAAGAGTTTCAGGTAGAAACCCAAGAGTTTCTACACTGATAATGTGTGTTGTACCCAACAAATGTGCTACTTCAGGCCATTCTAGATGCTCTGGTTCTTAAGGTCAGATCACATGACACAATCCAGCATTCTAATGCACAGATACAAGTACCACTGCACATTCTCCCAGATGATTTTAAAAATGCAAACTATTAAAGTTGGATATTGTAGATATTAGCTATTTCCAAATCAAATTATTTTCCTCGGGTGTTTGATGTTGATTTTTGACATAAGTCTAGTTTAACAATAGTGATTAGCAGCTCAAGTGTGAGCATAAATAGCCCATCAATGAGTCGATATGACTACTAACAGCATGCCTAATGACAGGAAAATGATTGTGCTGACAATACAATGTGGAGAACATGGGCTGCTTCTGAGAAAACATATGTTTATCATTCTAGTTCTCTGATTTTCTGCAGTTCATCATTTTTATTTTCTCTGTTTAGAAAACGGAGTCACTCATTTAGAGGCAAAAAATTAATGATAAATATAATTCAGTTTAACAGCCCTGGGTACCAGAACATTTTAATTTAACCACAGACATTTTCTGCTTTTACCTATTGTGGCTTGAAAGTTAACTCCTTTCCCAATTTTGCTGCCTTAAAAAAGTCTCCCTAAGATTCACTACATTAGTACGAGAAGTGGGAAATAAAGCTATCAGATATGCCTAAAATCAAGGGTATATGGTAGGTTTTTGAGCACTGGAGAAATTACTTAGTTCTGATATATCAGTGACAGAATTATGTAGCTCAAAACCATCCTTAGAGTAAAATGCATTAGAAGTTTAAGAACTTTCCTCTCTGTCACCAATGGAAACCTGAAGTATATGGCCTTCAAGAGAAGAAAAGTTCAACTCGTTTAGAAGCTTGTTATGGAAGTTCCCCAGACGCAAGAGTATTTTATAGGCTGTGTGTGTTTACACTTTGGAAGAACACAAAGAAGCTAATTCATTCTTGGAAAGTGTTTCTTATAAACCTTGTTTATTTCAAAATAAACCAGTTATTGAAAACATGCATAAGCCATTCCAAAGCCATTGGTCACAGAAAACAGAACTATCAACTGGGTCGTAGAGGAGCCAACAAGAAACAGAAAGATGAAACGGAGTGAGCGCATGCTTGTTCAGAGAGCTAGGGCAGTCCTGGATCTGCTGAAGTGACCTAGAGGAGAAGCGCTTCAGAACCTACACATTGAGTCTTAGGCCCAAACATGCATATGCTTAAGAAAGAAGCAATGCTGTCATCCTGTTTCTTCGCAACCAAACGAAGGGGGAGTGGAGGGACCAACGGATCCCGCCCTCTTACCCGGTTGTTGATCTAGGGCAAGGATCCTGAAGAACTTGCCTGAGTAACGCGAACTGTGCAAAAGTTCTCAACTATGAGGCGGGAGCCCCTCCTCACAGCACTCCACCTACCCCCATCTGTACACGTGTGAGCAAACTGAAAAAGGCAACAATGACAAAGAAGCTTGCCACTGGCAAGCGCGCACTCACCCTGGGCTGTGGAGCCCAGCCGGCCGCCGCCCGCCTCGGCCGCGCGCTGCGGCCCCGCGGGCCCGAGAGCGAGGGTTTCGCCCGCGCCGGACATGGGCCGCTCCGCCAAGCCCGCGCCGCGCCGCGCTGCGCCGCTGCTGCCTAGCTCGCCGCCCCGCAGGGCGCCCGGAGGAAGGGCTGTGAGGTGCTGGGTGCAGGGAACTGACTGCTTCTGGCGGAAAAATATACAAAAATTTAAAAAAAAATGTTTTTAGAGAAGAGCACACCACCCCTGCGGGACGTTCCCTCCGCCTCCACTTCCCTCCCTCAAACTCCACCCCGGGGAAGTTTTGATTTGAAACTAGCGAGGAAAACTGTTACAACGCAAGTTGACAGCGGCGGGGTCCCGGGGGTCCGAGGTGGACCCAGCGGGGAGGGGCTGGAAAGAGAGGTCGGGTTTGGGAGAAGCCCGGGGATAAGGATCAAACCCCTCCTCTTCCCGGCCCGGAGACGACCACCTACCTCCGCATCCCCCCGAGTCGCTCCAAGCCCCTTCCTCCTCCTCCTCCTCTTCCGCCTCGGAAAGTTAGCGAGGCTCCGGCAGCGGCCGCATTTTCGCCCCGGTGGCCTGACGACGGCAGCGGCCGCCCCTGCGCGTCCCTCCCGCCTCCCTCAGGCTCAGCCCAGACGCCGCAGTGGCGGCAACTGCGGCAGCGGTGGCGGCTGTGACTCCGCGCACTCCGCCCCCTCTTTCCAGCCAGCTCACTCCAGCCGGCTCCCCTGCAAGGGGGCCTTCCCCCTCTCTGCCTCTTTTTCCCCCCTTCCACTCCTACACTCCTGAAACACTTCTCCCTCTGTTGCTCCTTTTCATCACATCCGGATCGGGGAGGCCTCGAACTCTCGGCTGGTGGCCCTGAGGCTGAGGGCGGCGCGACCCGAGCTCGGCCGAGCGATCCCTAGCGCCCTGCGCTGTCTGGGTCAGGAGGCCAGAGCCGGCCTGGGCTGGCGCGGGCTCCCCACCCGGGCGCTGCGCCCTCCCGGGGCTGGGAAAGAGGAGTGAATGGGCAGGTCCCTGGCTGCCCAGACGTCCCCCTACCCCGTCCAAAAAGTCACCTCATCCCTTCTCCTTATTCCTGCCCCCAGACCGACGGAGGCTTTGGGACTATCCTGAGGAAAACCTTTAGGGGGGACAAGGAGAAACGAAAACACTATTACAGTATCGAACTTTTCTGGTGGGATAGACAAAGTGTGCGTTTGAAACCTTTACCCGTGGGTTGAACGTTTACTCACTTCATCTCTGGCTTCTAAATTACTCTTCGGTCAAACAGGATTCCTGATCAGGTAAAACCAGTTGCAGCTGCACGAATCCGCTGGAGGAATCCAGGCAAACAAGGTTGGCACCCTTGTGGATGCCCTGGTACTGGCCCCAGCCTGGCCTATGGCAAGCTGAATACCTCAATGGATCAGTGGTATCTGAGGGGAGATAAACTTGTGGTCGGAAGTAAAAAGCTGATCAACTTTCCGTTTATAAATGACACATTCTGATTGTAGCTTAATCTGATGAGCTGAGAATAGCAAGTGTAAAGTAATTTACAGATATATAGTACTTTAATGGTATACTCAGATAATTTTGCTCTTTATTTCATTTTGAGTGAAATGCAGAATTCATTTGTAGAAAGCTAGAACGAACTGATTCTTCGATTCTCTTGGACAAGCGAGGAATCACAGTAACGTTATCAAAATTGAAGAAAATGTACATTGGATTCACTGTCTTTCTAGGTGCATCGTTAATAATATCCCAGAAATTTCATTTCTTCAGAAAGCGCATTGGAATTGATTCCAATTGTTGACAATGATTTGTTACCTATGAAGAGACAGTGCACTCTAACTTGATTTCAATGATCATAAAAAAGCCAGCCTTCGCCGGGCGCAGTGGTTCACGCCTGTAATCCCCGCATTTTGGGAGGGTGAGGCGGGTGGATCACCTGAGGTCAAGAGTTCGAGACCAGCCTGGCCAACATGATGAAACCCCATCTCTACTAAAAATAGAAAAAATAGCTGGGCATTGTGGCAGGCACTGGTAATTCTAGCTACTGGGAGGCTGAAGCAGGAGAATCGCTTCAACCCAGGAGGCAAAGGTTGCAGTGAGCTGAAATCGTGCCATTGCACTCCAGCCTGGGCGATAAGAGCAAGACTCCACCACAGGAAAAAAAAAAAAAAAAACAGCCTTCAAAGTTGCTGATGACAGTCATTCAGACCATACTCCCCAAAAAGACAAATGACACTTTGCCCCATGACCCATAACTAACATTTTTTTTTTTTTTCATGTGGAGATTTCCGAAATGGTATGAATTCAAGTGCATTAACTCTCTTGAAAACTTGTCTAGGAGCCTGGACTATTTGGAATTTGTTTGATGGAAGCAGATCAATTCTGAAGATGACTTCATCACCACCAGAGAACAAACATTTAGGACGTCTCAGAGCCAACTGTAGCATCATCTGCACTCAAAATTTACCTGCTCTGGAAAATTCTGTTTTATCCCTGTACCATTCCTTGCACTATTTTTAAAATTCTCTCACAAAGATGTTAAGGTGCAATAATATAAAGAAGTTACAGCTTTCTTCTAGAAAGTCATAATCAATGATAAATATTTGTTCACTTAATTTCACACAGTCCTTAATATTGCACACATGGTGATTGATTCCATAGATATTCCTTAAATTAAATTTTAAAATCTTACTCTTTAATGGAGAAGACACAAAATTAAAATAACATTAGGAGCAAATGAGAAGCTGTAGGGTAGAATCACCAAGGTTGTCAAATACTGTACCTCGTTCAGCTGTGTAACTTCGGACAGTTAGTCACCCACTCTATACCTTGCTTGCCTCATAATATGAGAATGAAATTCTTCATAGAGTTTCTTTTTGAGCACGAAGTAAGGTAGTTTTCCTATAGAATTTGGAAGACTGTCAAATAAGGGAAAAAGTGTTCAAAAGTATCAACTATTATTACTATTTACACAGAAGCATCTTGAGGGGTAAAGCTTAGCATGGCATAATGACTGTATCAAAAGGGTCATATCAAAATACCAGGTTGTCATGCCATGCACCCGACGCAAATGAGCTCAATGAATTCTTTTATCTGTCCGTCTGCCCTATAAGTAAATTGCCAAGATTGTACCTTCAGGATTAGAACTCAGATCTGTCTCTCTTGCAGGCTATCCTGCATCCCTAGGTAACTCAGGTCTTCCTTCTGGAGGATCTAGAAGTGGTCTTAATGCCATTATCCTGGTGTCTGATATGCCAGGAGTTAAGTGTGGGCTCCTGAGTGTCCCTTACACCTCCCATTTCCCACATCCCTGGCTGCACTTGCTTGTTCTGATTGCTTAGTTTCTTTCCTGACAAGCACTCCCGTACGTTCATCTCTCATTCTTTCACTCAGTGTCATGAACTAAGTTTGTGTTTCCCCAAAATTCATATGCTGAAATCTTAGCCCCTGATGTCACGGTGTTAGTAAGTGGGGCCTTTGGGAGGTAGCTAGGTCATAAGAGTGGAGCCCTCATGAATGGAATTAATGTCCTAACAAAAAGACACAAGAGGCCAGGTGTGGTGGCTCACACTAAGGCAGGGAGATCTTTTGAGGCAAGCACTCTAGGACCAGCCTGGGCAACATACAAAGACCCCATCTCTACAAAATTGTTTTTAAAAAATTAGCAGGGCATAGTGGCATACTCCTGTAGCCAGTCACTCTAGAGGCTGAAGCGGGAGGATCACTCAATCCCAAGAGTTGGAAGTTACCGTGAGCTATATGGCATCCTGCACTCCAGTTTGGCAGCAAAGCAAGATCCTGTCTCAAAAAAAACAGACACACAAGAGTTTCCCAAGGCCCCACCTTCTAATACTATCACCTTGATGATTAGGATTCAACATATGAATGTTGGGGGACTACAAACATTCGGACTCTAGAAGGGGGAGACATATTTTCTAAGTTACTATTTATAAAAGCCACTCTGGTATTATGCATAAAATTGTTTGGAGGACTGAGAGTGGATCTAGGCAGTCCAATTTGGAGGCAAGGGCTGATGCTGGCAGAGGGAATGGAGCCAAGTAGATAGGGATGAAGGATGAGGAAGCTAGAGGAATTGAGAGCAACTGCCAGCTTTCTGCATCTAGGTCAATGACGGTGGTACGACCTACAGAGATGAAAACATTCAGGAGAGACAGTTTTTGGGGAAAGCTCCTGAGCTAACCATGTAAATGATGCAGCACGTGTGAGACACCTAATTGGAACTGTCCTACACAGGCTGCGGGACATGGGACTGGATTATAAGCATATAAATGGTACTTCACTAACTAGCAGGTTATCAGAGTGCAAAAGGCAACTGTGCACAGTAAAAGGTGCCCTGGAACTCAATCCACATGTATCCTTAGTTGCCTCTCTCACTTTCTCCACATCCTTCCCAGTGACATAATACCATTATCTGCTTGGTTTGGAGAACCACTACTGTTTAAGTACTACTACTGTCAGTGTCCCACTTGCTACCCCAGATCCCCCTGGGTTGTCTTTATTAAGCTAGATTTTTCCATGTCTTACGCTATCTTTTTTTTTTTTTTTTTTTGAGCCGGGGTCTTGCCCTTGTTTCCCGGGCTGGAGTGCAGTGGCTGGATCTCAGCTCACTGCAAGCTCCGCCTCCCAGGTTTGCGCCATTCTCCTGCCTCAGCCTCCGGAGTAGCTGGGACTACAGGCGCCCGCCACCTCGCCTGGCTAGTTTTTTGTATTTTTAGTAGAGACGGGGTTTCACCGTGTTAGCCAGGATGGTCTCGATCTCCTGACCTCGTGATCCGCCCATCTCGGCCTGTCTTACGCTATCTTAATCTGGGTGGGTGGAAATTCTCCAGGGGTGTCAGCTTGCTGGTGAAACTCAATGCCCTACCCTAGATCAATCCCCCTGCCTTTGAAATTCTTATGTGCCTTACAACCATTCCTGCCTAGTGGTGTGCACACTAATGATTATATAATAGTATGTGAACACATTGTGAAAGAGGTCTGACATGAGCTAAGCAAATGAAATAAAGGACTAATTAAAAGAGTTTATAAAGCATCCTTATGGACTACTTAATCTTCATCATTCATTCATTAAACATTCATCAAACATTTATTGTGCATCTACTATATAGTAGGCCACATATTAGGCTCTGGAGATAAATTTGATTTGATGTCTTGAAAAGCAGCTAAATTAGTTTTCACTTGGGCAGAGGCTTATTTGCCTAGTAAAGTCAAAATTAACCTCCTTACATAGGTATCTAAACCAGAAGTCTACAACTGGGGTGTGTAATTGTAAGGGCATTCCAAGGGATGCATAAGACAATCTACTGAAATGTGGGCAGAAAATATTAGAGTGAGCATTTATGTATGTTTTTATAATTTTTAATTTCTATTTTTGAGTATCTTTTTATACAGTGTATTGCACATTTGTACAAAAGTACTTGGGTATGATTTATAAGCAAACATACATTAAGAGTTTACATTCAAATACCCTCTTTGTTTAAAAAAAAAATTTTACCTTTAAAGAGTCATTCCCAGATTATATCAAGGGTAGTTTTTCTGGAAAATATATTTACCTCATTTATGTTAGAAGCAGGACTTTAGCAATCTCCAAACCCAATGACCTAGAAACCAGGAAATAACAGCAACATACTAAATACCTAAAATAACCTTCACGATGTTCAGAAAGTGCCAACACAAAAGACATAATCCTTCTCAAATCTTACTTGTTCTTTTGTGAATACACACCTCTAATCAAACTTTATTTTCTGTTGTTTCAGCTCACAGTGTTTTAGAAGAAGAAAACTTAGGGCGCAGGGACATGGAGGGGAAGGGATTAGCTAAGGGAGCTATTAGGTCAGAAAAACTGACAGCAGGAGAGATGACAGCTGACAGACAACGAAGGTACAGGAAAATAAACATGTTGTAACAACGCCTTTGTGAATTCAGCTTCGTGAAATAGTCTATGCTCCTAATGAGAGCCTGAGTCATTAAGGAAAGAGTCAGTTAGTTATATGAGTGCTATATTCTGTTTTTAGGGGATCAGGTCAATCTTTTTACATTCCAGGAAAAACTCTTTCAAACATGTTCAAAAATTCCTTTAAAAAAAGGTTGCTACTTGAAAGAGTAAATTCCACAGAATGACAATTTTACAGCTGCAAGGGGAATTAGCAATCATAATTTCAGGCCAAGCTGTCTTGATCGCATTGCTCCACCTCCTAGTACTGTGTCAGGTGCAATCAGGTGCAGGGGAGGTCAGGTGCACAGGTTTCTGGAAGCCTGCTGTTAGAGTAGAGCACTTTCTTCCTTTTCTCCATAATGTATTAGTCCTTCTCTTAAATTTTAACTGAAACAACTGATTCTTCTGCTTT